TTTTTTTTTTTTTTTTAATTTTGTATGACTTTTTACGTCGGACCTTGGCATGTCCGACGTAAATTTACGTCGATTTTCTCGCCCCGACGTAAAATTTACGTCTCCCGCTTCTACGTCGGATGTTTCTCTGACGTAAAAACCCCTAAATAACCGACGTAAAATGCTTATTTTGTACTAGTGTGTAAATAGTTGGATTGTTTAAATATGACTATTGAGATGAAAAAAATTATTTTAATAGTATGTAGGGTTTAAAAGAAATCACTCTTCATAATTAAGATACACCTATATATTGTAATATATATAAGTTTTAAGTATTTTTTCTATAAAGATAATCATGTTTGAATTAGATAACATAATAATAAATTAATATAAACTCAATATTAATAATATACCATCGGTTAAGTTGAAACAACTTCATTAAGTTAATTCACATATTAGTGATTTATAAAGTAATATTATACATATAATAATTCATACAACAATTTTTATAACATCATTTTTTTTATATTTATACTATTAATAAATGTAATAAATAATGTAATTGAGATTGATAAAAAAAAAATATGTAAAATTAATTAATTAGTTGTATAAGTATCATATATATTTTTCGTGTGTGACATGTGTGATTAGTCAATATTTGGCAACTAATAGATACATTTTTTTTCTTTCTATTTTATATACGATCTCATATATTAAGTTGATTTATATTTTTTTTTTATCATTTTACTAATCATATATTTTTTAATTTAATTCGTTTTCTGATGATTAGTTGGTGAGAAGTGACAAATCCATATAGGATTGAGGGGTAGATTTTTTTTTTTTTTTTTTTTGTATTTTTTCGCCCTATATTTGTGTATTTGAACTCTCTGATTCTAATTTGTTACTCTATTATCAAAATTTGTCCTTCATGTATATGAGTATCTTTTTTCTCTTTTGGTCTATTTTTAGTTTTCTGAATACTTATGCTTTATTCAATTCGACATTTCATTTTATCACATATTTTGTTTTTTCCTATAATAATAATAATATTTTATTTTCCACTGAGTAAGCATTCTAGATCCGCCACAGTTGGTTAGGAAGAAGTTTACGAGGTTTTGTGTATGAACTTGTGGCATGGCAAGATGAATGGTATGACTCGTGAAGAAGAAGAGTGAGTCTCATTGTGGGATCCACTTTACTACTTCCATCGGAATTTTATTTCTGGACTGCGTCCAAATTTAGTCTTCATCGTGTTCTTTTTATTTGCAATCGGAGCAACAATGAAACCAACAAAACGAATTTTGAATTTATTTGTGTTATAAAAATAATCTCTTCCACAAGATGATCAAAAAATTAAACTGGTTTTCTTTTCTTTTACTAACAAAGGGAGGCTGATGAGTGACCCCTAATATTTACCAATTTTATAATAAACTCAGGAAATCCTTTCTTTCTAATCACGTTTGAGAATTTTATAAAATGAATATTTACGTGTGTGCATGCATATTCAATTTTTAAGATACACGTCATTTGAATCCATTCGACTTTCGCAATCTCCCTGTTTTGTTTTGGCAAAACTAGGACTCGATACAGCCTATTTAGAATGTATTAATTTCAGTCAGCACGGCGTTTTATTTTAGGTTAAATGTGTGAGTGTGATATCATAAGTTTTCTTAGGACATTCTTCTGATAATTTTCCTTTATAATAAGTTGATGCTGGGTGGTTTTCTCAGGGCATATCATAAGTTTTGTTCATATTTATCATATTGTACTTAAATTTTGTTAATAATCTTTTTTACCTATAATAATTACAATTACAATAACAAAGTTTAAATTTAAAATTTATACATGTTACCTCAATATTTTTATAATTAGATCAATCTTAATGATTTATTTTGTCATGATTTATTTACTAATAAGAGTATTAATTATAGTTTTAACATTGTTAATTAATTGGTAATTATTAAATATTATATATAATGATTTGTTGATTGTTATAATAATTATTTTAAAATCTCACTTATTGTTATGATTTTTTTTGTTGATTAATGGGTAAAAAGTTTTACATTGACAATCTATAAAAATTAAACTCATATCTTAATTAAATTATTAGGGACGGATTAGTGGGGAGAAATTTAGAGTAGTATGCAAAACAACTTAAATTTGAACTATATTACAGCTATTATAATTATTATTGATAAATAAACTCGCATGCTAATTAAACAGTATAAATTTAAGGTGTAGAAGTAATATTTTTAACTGATGGATTTCGTTAAAAATTTATTAAAAATATTTTAAATTAAATTTAATTAGTTAACTTGATTATATAACTGCATAATTCACCAATAGAAGGAACTCTAATCACTTAGTGAAAAAACTATTTTACAATATTAATAACATTTTACATCAATTTTTTAATAATTGATGTAAAAATTTAATATCTACTTTGTAATCATTTAAAAAAAATTCATCGATTACTGAATAACCGATGTGATTTACATCCGTTATACACATAACCTATGTAAAATTGCATTTTTACATCCGTATACATATAATCGATGTAAAAGAAATAATTTCGAAGTTTACGTTCGTCTAATTTTCAATTTCGAAAAATCACGGTGTCCAACTCCGTTTGAACGACGTATTTTAAAATTTAGAAGTCTTTACTTTGTTGTGTCTCTATTTTCCTTGAGCGTTTGTTGCTTTGTCACACTGCATGTCTAAAATTTTATTGTAATAGTGAGTCTTTTAAATATATAATTTATGTTTAATCTCGAAATTCATATATATAATTAAATTTTAATATTGATCTGAACTATATTTAAATTTATAAATAATTAAATATTAATATAAAAGCAAGTGGATGTAAGATTTAATACATGAAATATTAATATACTAGTAGCAAAGTTATGTTACTATCTCAGATCTTCTCGGCCTGTCCTGTCCCTTCTGTTTGTGGGACATCTAATCATTTAGAAGCATTGTATTTTGTATATTAGGGCAGTCGTTTAGGAACCTTAATTTATGAGTCACAGAAAAGTATCGTTGTGACGGCTTTACTTGAAATAGCATGCATGCCTTGACTTTGCATTTATAACATATACATCTATTTTAAATGTATTAGTCAGTAGCCTACACGTTTTTGGTAAGACTTAGGTGTTAAATAGGTTCACAAATTCGCACTTCATTTTTCTTTTAATAAAGATATTTTCTGCCTTCGGAAAACAACGTACGTCCTCGTCATATTGTGTTGGAGACTTTATCTATTTTTCTTTCCTTTTTTTTTTAATTCACCAATAGAGCTAACAAGAAATATAAATATATTTGATTATCTAACAATCACTATAAGAAATATTATAAGAAATGCTATATATAGTTACACACAAAAAATGTCACTATAAATATAATATATATATATATATAAATTTATTTAACATATAGTTATAATAATTTTAATATATTGATTTTGAATGAAATTTAACAATTGTGTGTTATTATAACTTATACCTATACCTTTTTAATAATATACCAACATATATTGTATTTATAGTGTAAGTAAAAGTAACTTTTATTAATAAGTATATGTATAATTATAGGGCGTACGTCACTATATGACAAT